CAGTAAATTGTCTTAAGTAGACTAAATCATACAATTACTGAATTCGAAACGTACGGTCATCTGTTTCTAAACGAGATTAGAAGTGATTTGCTTTTTCAAAAGTTGGTACTTAACCTATCCCAATAACAGACGTTAACATAAGAAAGTGTAGCAGTGGTGCACCGCTACATGTATTGTGGTTTCATCTATTTTGGCAAAGGGATGGTCCAATATATTCGACCGATTAGCTGAGCACCTCCGATATAGAACTTAGTATTACAATAAGGTGACTCTCTCGGGCCGGATATGCCACTGGACACTCAGAATTGTGAAGGGTGTGCCAAAACTACCGCTTTTGGATGGCAAAAGTGAACTTCTCGAAATCATTGGCTAGGACACCACCTATTAACGTTTATGCCTAATCTAGCTGCCACACGCAATCATAGTATTGTTTTACATGACAGTCGTGCTACAATATGCATAGTATTAGTGGACATTTACTCTCAATATCCTCATACTAAGCTCGGCTGTAGTCGCAGAAGGCATGGTTAACTGTGAATGAAAGTCTGATTAAATTTAGCTAAATCGGACCTATTTACCCTAATGTTGGTCCGTTTTCTTTAAATCGGTTCCGAGATAAGCATGCAAATCGGGAGGCAAATTGATGAAAATTTCAATCCATTTTCACCACAACACGTTACAATCGAGCAACATTTTTTTGCTTTTGACACGTATATCCGCTTGAAGAGGATCTTCATAGAACACAAGTTCGTGAGAATTATGGGTGTGGTTTCGGTGCACGGCGACTCGGACTGGAATGCGCAGATGCAGCGCGCGGGCGGCAAGCTGGTGGTGGTTGACTTCTCGGCCGTCTGGTGCGGCCCGTGCCAGCACATCAAGCCCGTGTACCATCAGCTGAGCGACCAGTATCATGACGTGGTGTTTCTCGAAGTGGATGAGGCGCAGAACCGCTCGCTCATCGGCGCTCTGGGCGTGCGCGGGTTCCCCACCTTCCACTTCTACGTGAACCAAAGCAAGGTGGACGAACTCGTAGGCGCCGACCCGAACCAGCTTCGCGCCAAGATCGAGCAGTGGCGTCAGTCGGCTTTCAACCCTTTCGCGTCTCCCGGTGTGACACTTGGTGCCAGCTCCGGCAGCTCAGCCAAGCCCCTGTCAGCTGCCGAGGCTCGTGAGGCCAGACTTAAGCGATTCAACAACGTGAGCCTGGTGCCCAACGTTCCGACGCCGGCTCCTGCCGCTCCGGCTGCTGCCGCACCGGCGGTACCGGACTCCAACGTGGTGTGCGACCCTGTTACCGGTGTGTGTCGTTCTAAGGACGACGATGTGGAGATGAAGGAAGAAAGCGGTGAAATGGGGCCTCCGCCTGTGAACGAGGAGCTGTTGACGCAGCTGAAGGAAATGGGCTTTGACGATCTTCGTTCCCGCAAGGCGCTGCTTGCAACGGATAACCAGGGACTCGAGATGGCTATTAACTGGCTGGGTGATCACCAGGACGATGCGGATATTGATGAGCCCATCAAGTTTGTGGACTTGTCAAAGGCTGCACCGAAGCGTGAGTTGACTCCCGATGAGAAGGCTGCCAAAGTGGAGGAGTTAAAGGCTCGGATTGCCAAGAAACGTTCGGAGCGTGAGGAACAGGAGAAGCTGGATCAACGTACCAATGAATTGAAGCGTCGTACCGAGGGACAGGGAATGCAGGAGGCCCGTGAAGAGATTGAAGCCATTCAGCGGAAGATCGCGGCGGAGAAGATGAAGAAGGACAAGGAAGACGCCAAGCGAGAGCGTGAGCGTCTGCGTAAGCAGCTTGAGATGGACAAGCGTGAACGTCAAGCTCGTGGTGGACGATTGGGTGGTCCTCCTATCGACGTTGCACCCATTGACGTGAGCTCGAAGAAGGAGGAGGAAGCGGAGAAGAAGAGTCCCGTCCTGACCCCCAAGGAGCAGATCGTGAAGAACGTGGGCATTCTCAAGAAATACCGCGTTGGTAACGATGGTCTCACGGCTCTCAAGACGCTCAACGTGTATGTAAAGAACCTGATCGAGAAGCCCGAAGAGGAGAAATTCCGCATCATCAACCTAGAGAACGCGGCGTTCCGTAAGCGTGTTGCCAGCCTCGTCGGAGGTGTCGCTTTCCTCAAGAGCCTTGGCTACGAGAAGGATGAAGCTGATGGCAATCTCAAGCTCTCGGTGGAAAACCGCGACATGGAGTTGTTGCAATACGCTCGCACTCAGCTTCAGGGCGCTATTGCGGAGCTCTCCAACTGAGAGATTAAATAACATCACGATTTGAGCTCACTTGCTCTTTTCTCACCTGTTTTTGGCATCAATTTCATTCAAATATTCTTTGAAAAACTCCATCTTTAAAGCGAGAAAAAGCGACCAAACAATCCCTTGCGTTGTTCGGTTGGCTTATCTTCTTCATCCGGCTTGGGCTTGACAACGAATTCCCCAGTCTCAGCGCGTTTATTGGTTTCCTGCAACGGAACATGGGCACCTCCAATAGGCGGAGAGATGACGTCGGTCTGGATGCCACTAACGATAATGGACACATACACAGAGCCCTCCAGAGACTGATCGTAGCATGTGCCGAAGATGATGTTGGCTTCGTCGTGTACACGGCTGCGGATGATCTCCATGATTTCATCCACTTCGAACAAAGTCATGTCCTCTCCACCGCGAATAGTGACTAGCAGACCATGCGCGGACTCGGTGGGAAGGTCACCAAGCAGCGGGTTCACTAGAGCCTGTTCGGCTGCTTTCCGAGCACGACCCTCCTCGCTTGAGATACCTGAGCCCATAATGGCACGACCTGCATTCGATAGAATCGTCTTGATGTCGGCAAAGTCCAGATTGATAAGTCCCGGTCGAACGATCAAATCCGTGACACCCTTAACTCCTTCCAGTAGCACATCGTCCGCATACCGGAAGGCTTCCAACATGGTGGTACTCTTGTCTGCCAGAGCCAATAAGTTCTGGTTGGGCACGACAATTAAAGTGTCGACGTACTTGGCCAGTTCTTTTACGCCAGCATTGGCCAGTCGAGTACGGTTGGGTCCTTCGGATCGAAACGGGGTGCTTACCACCCCAACCGTTAGGATGCCTAACTCCCTGGCTACACTGGCTACGACAGGAGCTGCTCCTGTGCAGGTTCCTCCACCCATTCCGCCAGTAATAAACAACATGTTGCTGTCCTGTAGCATCTGCTGGATTTCACTTTTCTGCTGTTCCGCAGAGCGTTTGCCAAGCTCGGGTTTGGATCCAGCTCCCAGTCCCTTGGTGATATCTTTGCCCAACGTGATTTTATGCGGCGCCAACGAGCGTCCCAAAGCCTGGCAGTCAGTGTTGGCCACAATAAACTCGACACCTTCAAGCTGCGACGCGATCATGTTGTTGACAGCATTGCTTCCAGCTCCACCAAGTCCCATGACCGTGATCCACGGCTTCCCGTCCTTGAAGGAGGACATCAGCGGACGCTTCTTGCCTTCCTCCTTATCCGCAGCTTGCGTCTGGGTCGAACTTGTCGAAGCAGAGGCTTTGGCAGCTGTGGCTGCACGCGCTGCTGGCGTTGACCGCTTCCGTCGTTCACTAGTGCGCTTTGAAGCTCTCCGCGGTGCCGGGGAGGAGGCTTCGCTGCCGTTCCCGTTGAGTTTCGCGGAGTCGAACGTGACGCTGGGCTCATGCAACCATCGCGCGGACTGTAGCAGTGGCGACGACCGACGAGCCGAGAGCGATGCCACTCGTTGAGACTGGAGCAGGAGTGACGTGCAACGCGAAGTCATGGAGGAGGAAGATCCGGGGAGGCAAGGGGAACGCTGTTACCACCACCTGGTCACTTGGTCGACACGAGGGTTCTTTTTGAGAGCCACAAAAGGCATGCGAATTTTGACCAATGAGGATGATGTAAATGTTGCAATCTTTATTATGGATATGCGTACATGTATTGACTGGGCACACACTTGCTATTTGGACATCCTTCTTTAAATCCATCGTTTTCATCCTTTTCCCGAAAGTCAATGCATTATCAATGCATCCAGTCGACAAACCTCATAGATTCTGTTTCAGAATAACGTAAGGCTCAAGAATTTTACAGAATGAATGTTGACATCCTTGGAATCTTGGAGTCCATTGCCAACGGAAACGGATAACAACCTGTTCGCAATAACGAATGAATTGTTGAAATATGTTTTTCAAATGTTACGGGCCCATGTCCAGCAGCAAGGTACTGCGGTAATAGTTACTGTAGTACTGTACAAGATAACAAGAAGTCCAGCAGTTTTTACTACAATGTGTACATGTACATGTATTGTTCACGCTGTCGACCGTCGACAGCTTGACTCGACGATCCTCTCCTGTGACAGGACTTCTGTTCTGACGATCAGTTTGTTTACTTTACGACTTGTGACGGGCGCTCGGACTCCAACTCATGCCTAATAATTAGTACCGGTAAATGTAAATTTAACTAATAATCATTCATTATTGCCTTTCATATATTGAAATTACAGTATTAAAAAACTGTAAAACAAAATAAAAGGCCAACCCATTCAAGTCTTCTTGTCTAATAACGGAGCCAGGACTAGGACTTTCAACTCCTCATTTTTTTTCTTTACCAGTAACACGATAGACTTCTTCTACAGCATACAATCACCTCGACTTCCTACCCCAGCCGCTTCCCTTCCTGTCTGTACATTTTTAAACTCTTAATTAAAAGGGTTAACAGTAATACGTAGGTAATAATAAGGTATTTGCAGAGGATTAGGACTTTAATTACGTTTGTAATTCGTCTGCAAATCCGTTTCTATTGCTTACCTTAAAATTAAATTATTTAAGTAGAGTTTAGGCTTTTTGCACAACGTAAGTACAAATAAATGTAGTGAAGTTGCGCGGCTCGAAGAATGCTAATTATGACAATGAAAAGCAATCGAAGGTCGCACAATAAAGCGTGCAATGCAACGTCCCTTATCTAGTCCTGTTAACCTGCAAGGCAATTCGCAGGTGTTCTACAAGTAAACCTACTACTGTAATATAGTTTAGCTTTTCCCTTCGAACCGCATGCTGTTGCTCATCGCTCAGCATGGGATGTGTTTTTGGCGGCCGCTCTCAGCTCCCGCTGGCTGTTGTGACCAACAACTGTGTTGTAAACACTGCCTTCATTCCGACATTTCCCTCGTAGGACACAAGTTCGCTCTGGTTTGTGCGGCCGGCAATAGCTGCTCAAGATCACTCATGCGTGTGCTGTACGTATTCCTCGCCGCCACCGCAGCCCTCCTTGTGAACA